TTCGTGTCTTGAAGGACTAATGGGAGTTAGCCAAGCAAAGAAAGATGAAAGAACATCATGACAGATAGGAGTAGGCAGGAAGAGAGTAGTGACTTACAGATGGCCATGAAATGGTGTGATGTTAGAACCAGTTACCTGGGCTTGTTGGTTGAATGTCCAGGTAGAGGAGAGAGGGAAATGACAGACCCTCCAGATGTCAGGTTTGGTGGTGCTGCTCTCTGGGAGAGAGCTCATTTGGTATTTCTTTTTTCTTTTTTGGATGGTACTGAGGTTTGAACTCAGGTTTTGGGCTTGCTAGGTAGATGCTCTACCACTTGAGCCATTTCTCCAGTTTCTGTATAGAGCTCATTTGGGAAGGAAGATGTTAAACTCTATGTTGGGCAAGTTGAGTGGGTGGTTCCTGTAGGCAGCTCAAGGGGTGATGCCAGAAAAAGCTGGGCCCAATGGGTTGGGAGTTTTGGGTCAGACATACACACTTGGAACCCTGGACCATGAACCGTGTGGGCTATGGAATGTTGAGGTGAGTCTGTATAGCCGAGGGGGGTGGACCAGGTAAGAAGCATCTGGCAGAGGCTTTGTGGACACACAAGGGAGCGGGTGGGGGGAAAACTGAGCAGGAGGGGATGAGGGAGAGCAAACAGTAGGGACAGTGGAAACAGGCATGGGGGGGGCTGGGGGAACCCTGAGTAGTATGAGGATAGAAGGTGGGGAGGGTGCGTCTTGTTTGGTGAGGGTGGATATCAAGGAAGCACCTGGCTTGGCCACCAGGGCATGGTGTGCCACGTGGGAGTAGGGTGTGGGTGCCATGCTTCTCACATGCTCTGCTGGGCTCAGCTTGGGTCCTCCAGGCCATGGGCAGGAACAGAAAAAGAATAGCAGAGGCCTGAGACCACCCCAGCCTGGCCCTCTGACCCCTCTGTGCCCTGCAGACGTGGATGAGTGTGAGGCGGGAGACATATGTGACAATGGCATCTGCACCAACACACCAGGCTCCTTCCAGTGTCAGTGCCTCTCTGGATACCATCTGTCACGAGATCGGAGCCACTGTGAGGGTGCGGGTTCTAGAGCTGGGGCACTGGCCTGGCCTTCCCTGGCCTTCCCTCCCCCAAGATCCCTGCTGCCTGGATCTAGATTGCAGATGTGGTTATACGGGTGTGGGAGCAAACTAGGGCTGGGGGTGGGGGGCTTTGGCAGCCTCAGGCTGTGTATATGGGGTTGGACCCTGAGGCTCTCCCCCCCCCCTGAATTCCCACAGACATCGATGAGTGTGACTTCCCTGCTGCCTGCATTGGAGGTGACTGCATCAACACCAATGGCTCCTACCGATGTCTCTGCCCCCAGGGGCATAGGCTGGTGGGTGGCAGGAAGTGCCAAGGTATGAGGGATTGGTTGAGGGGTGCCTGAGAGGAGTAGCAGGGCACAGTAATCCCCTCAATACACTGTGTGCTTTCTGTCTTTCCATCCATCCACTCTACACTGATTCATCCACTCTACACTCATTCATCCTTCCACTTGTTCACCTGAATGACAAGGATAACAGTAATGATGACTGTTTCTGTGGAGCTAACTATGTGCTTAACCCATCAACTCACTTACACTTCATTCCCCACTACCAAGAAGATAACTGGTTTAGTGTGGTGGTGTACGCCTGTAATTCCAGTACTAGGGAAATGAAGTCAGGAGGATGTTGAGTTTGAGGCCAGCCTGGGCTAGATAATGAGACGCTGTCTCAAAGAATAACAACAAAAAAGGTGACAGGACTGAAAGATATTGGGAGACCAAACTCAGATGCCTAGCTGAGAGTTAGGACTTCATTCTGTTGTCAGTGGGGATCATTGAAGGTTTGATGAAGGATGACAACAGTGAATATCACATACCTCACCCATTCACACAGACAGATTCAAGGGGACTTCTGTTGTGTGTACTTTGAAATCAAAGTGGAAATTCAGCTTCTGAACCAGTGTGAGGCCCTTGGGGGACACCCCAGGGAAAGAGGAGCTGGGTCTCCTCAAAGCCACTCCTGCACCAGCTTCCTGCTCTCCTGCCTCTCACAGATATAGATGAGTGCAGCCAGGACCCTGGCCTGTGTCTGCCCCATGGAGCCTGCGAGAACCTGCAGGGCTCCTATGTTTGTGTCTGTGATGAGGGCTTCACGCCCACTCAGGACCAGCATGGCTGTGAGGGTGAGTATCCCCTTCTCAGACAAGACAACTCCTCTCACCTGCAGCTGGGGATCTGGCTGGGTCCTGATCCCTCTCCCCTGGATTTGGGAACAGAAAGAAATCCCTTTTGCCAAACCTCTTTGGGTCCTCAGGAGGAGCCTGGCTCTTACCTAGCACCAAAGGAGCGAGCCAGAGAAAGGATGGACCAGTGATGCAGTGGGTGGGCAGGGTAGACAGGGCCAAGGCAGTCTGCTGCATGACCGTGAGCGGCCATCCCTCCTCAGAGGTGGAGCAGCCCCACCACAAAAAGGAGTGCTACCTTAACTTCGATGACACCGTGTTCTGCGACAGCGTATTGGCCACCAATGTCACCCAACAGGAGTGCTGCTGCTCACTCGGAGCCGGCTGGGGTGATCACTGCGAAATCTATCCCTGTCCAGTCTACAGCTCAGGTCAGGAGCCGGCCAAGCCCCTTCCCAGAGCCTCAGTTTGTTCATTTAGAAACCAAATGGCGGAACTGGTTCCCCCTTGGGTAGTTGGGAAAGGAGGCGCAGAGCTCCGACCTGTGCCCGAGGGTCCGTAGGTGCGCGCTCAGTCGTGCCTTCTTCCCTCCCCACGGCCTCTCTCACCCCGCAGCTGAGTTTCACAGCCTCTGTCCAGATGGAAAGGGTTACACGCAGGACAACAACATTGTCAACTACGGCATCCCAGCCCACCGTGGTAAGCCCCGCCCCGCCCCCAGGTTTGGTTTGGTTGGGGGGTGCTGGCTGGGTCAGGCGGGCACCGGATAGGCCCCGCCCCTTCACTAGTCTTGGGGTGAGGCCTGCCCCGCCGAGTTTGCTTCCTCCAGCGGTAAGCCCCTTCCTCGCCCCGAGCTGAGGAGGCTCCAGCTGCCAGGTAAGGCAGAGGTGGCTGGGCACCCATGGGTCCATCATCCCGCAGACATCGACGAGTGCGTGTTGTTCGGGGCGGAGATCTGCAAGGAGGGCAAGTGTGTGAATACGCAGCCCGGCTACGAGTGCTATTGCAAGCAGGGCTTTTACTACGACGGGAACCTGTTGGAGTGCGTGGGTGAGCGCATCCCGCCCCAGGGCTCTGGGAAGTGGTGGAAAGACACGCAAACTGCCGACTCAGGCTGTGCCCCTACTACCAGCGCTTTTCCGCCCCGCAGACGTGGACGAGTGCCTGGACGAGTCGAACTGCCGGAACGGAGTGTGTGAAAACACGCGCGGCGGCTACCGCTGCGCCTGCACGCCTCCTGCCGAGTACAGCCCCGCGCAGCGCCAGTGTCTGAACCCTGAAGAGATGGGTGAGCCCGGGCTGGTCAGCTGGAGGAGCGGGAGGGGACGGGGCCCGGGCCGGACTGTGATTGCCACCCCCACCCATCCCCTCGCTGCCCGTAGACGTGGACGAGTGCCAGGACCCGGCAGCTTGCCGCCCTGGCCGCTGCGTCAACCTACCGGGCTCCCACCGCTGCGAGTGTCACCCGCCCTGGGTGCCCGGGCCCTCCGGCCAAGACTGCCAGCTCCCCGAGAGCCCGGCGGGTGAGGGCGACGGTCGGGCTGGGCACATTCCGGGGCCCTGCCCGTCGGGTGGAGCCACGGGCCGCGGTCCCCGACTCGGTGGGGTGGAACGGAGGCGGGCGGTCCCTGCCTCGGGCTTCTTCCTGATGCACAGGTCCCACTCCACAGAGCGTGCCCCGGAGCGACGCGAAGTGTGCTGGGGCCAGCGCGGAGAGGACGGCATGTGTGTGGGCCCCCTGGCCGGACCCGCCCTCACCTTCGACGATTGCTGCTGTCGCCAGGGCCGGGGCTGGGGCACCCAGTGCCGCCCGTGCCCGCCGCGCGGGGCCGGTGAGCCAGCTTGGGGGGGCGTATAGGAGCGAGGGCCGGGGTCCACCGACGTTGCTGAACCCTTCTTCCATCCCTCCCAGGGTCCCAGTGCCCAACGTCCCAGAGTGAGAGCAATTCCTTCTGGGACACAAGCCCTCTGCTGCTGGGGAAGCCCTCGAGAGGTGAGTGAAGCCAAGGGGGCAGAGGCAGGGACAGTGGCTAACAGGGTGGTGTTGATGTCCGTGTTTCTCCGGCCGGCATAGATGAGGACAGCTCAGAGGAGGACTCGGATGAGTGCCGCTGTGTGAGTGGCCGCTGCGTGCCCCGGCCGGGCGGCGCGGTGTGCGAGTGTCCCGGCGGCTTCCAGCTGGACGCCTCTCGCGCCCGCTGTGTGGGTGAGCAGCGCGTCCGGGACCGAAGGGCGGGGCCGGGGCTGGGCGGCACGGTGCGGGGACTAGATGCTAAGCGAGGTCCGCACCTGTCACTCCCACCTGTCAGACATCGATGAATGCCGAGAGCTGAACCAACGCGGGCTGCTGTGCAAGAGCGAGCGCTGCGTGAACACCAGCGGCTCCTTCCGCTGCGTCTGCAAGGCAGGCTTCGTGCGCAGCCGCCCGCACGGGGCTTGCGTGCCCCAGCGCCGCCGCTGACTCCGCCCTCTGCCCGCGCTGCGGCGATCTCCCAGGGTTCCCACTGACACTGGGGACGAACTCTCGTGTTGCTCCTAGGTCAGGACACGGACCTAGAGACCCTCCGGGGCCCACAGACCCCTTCCCGCACCCCGGCACCCGAGGTTGGCCATAGCAGCCCCGCCTGGTTCACAGGTGGTATTGGGTCTGCCTTCCTCCCTGAGGACGTTTCCTAGAAACTGATAAATCGGATCGTGCCTCTTTAATTTACTCTTGGCTTTTAAAGCAAATTGATGTTCACATCCGCAGTTGGGCAGGGACTGCAAGCACCAGATCCCAGCTGCCTCGGAGGAGCTAAAGTGAGCCCGGGCCAGGAATGTGAAATAGAATTTATTGTGACTCTGATTATATACACGAGATGTGCCGGCCGGGCTGCCGGGCTCACATGCTTTGTACAATAAATACATCCACGGCTCTCCTCTCCGTGGCTGGAAGGCCCTCAGGGGTTCAGTCCAACTTCCGGGCTCCCAGCTTCATGGGGCCCTTGGACGCCTTCTTCTCTGCACGTTTGGCCTCCATCTCCCTCCGCCGCTCCTCACGCTTTTTCCGGGCCAGCTCAGCCTTCGCCTGTCCTGGGGGTGGGAAGAGGGAGCCTGCTGAGGGGTGGCCGGATCTCAGCTCCCCACCCTGGGCCTGCCAGGACTGGGTGACTCCTAGGGGCAGCACTTACGGCTCTCTGTCTCCAGGCCCTCCCAGTGGTCCTCACTCCAAGAATCTGAGTCTGGCCTGGGCTGAAAGGGAAATGCGGGCTGCTGCAGCAGGGGCCAATTCCTCACTGAGGTCTACCCAAATCTGCACCCACACTGGACCAGTACCTGGGTGCTGGAACGTATAGATAGGGCAGCAAAGGGATCACCCTTGTCGTTGGGCTCTGTGCTACCCCAGTTATACTCGCTGGCCAGCCGTGTGCCTTCAGGGGGTGGTTCTGGAGAGTTGGGTTCTTGCCAGCCCTGGTCCCAGGAGCCCTCAGCTTCCCAGCTGCTCCAGTCTGACTCCAGGGATTTATGGTCTGTGTGGCTGACCTTCAGAAGAGTGGGGTAGAGATAGAGTGGTAGGGTGAAGAGCCAGATCCTGCCCACAGAACAACACCCTCCCCCTGCTCCCTTCTGACCCAGCTCACCTGCACAGTTTGGTTTGCTTGGCCCTTGGCACTCCAGTTATCCTGTTGGGCCAACACAGACTCAGCTTCCTGCTGTAGTGTGGGAAGAAGCGGGGCATGATCAATGAATGATACCCCCATCCTCCGAAAGGGCAAGTAAGCTAGTCCCAGCTCCTTCCCAGCCATGGGATCCACCCTTCCTGCTCCTTTCCTTCCCTAGCTATAAAGTTGATCCACTGACCCCTACCTGCCATCGCCCTCATGAAGCAAGGGATGAGGTCTAGATGTTTTGTGACCTTCCCCACAGCCCTGGGGGCCAAATTGGAAAACTGGCCCAGAACTCCACATCATTCCCCTTCAGGCAGCCCCATTCCATCCTCCCCAGGAGGCTTGGTTTGGGAGTGGCCTCTCCTTGCTAACCCTGGCACTGGGTAGACACAAGCAGGTGGAGAAGGAATGGGGTGCAGAGAAGAGTGAGCAGTCAGTGGGCTGTCCAACTAATTCCTGCCAATTCTCCCATTTCCCAGCCTGTTACTGGGGTCCCCTGGAGTTGAGTGGAGGTTCAGCTGATGGCTCTGGCCTACAGTGGCCAACTCCATCAGGCCTACCTGCCAGGGATACCATGCCGAGGAGGAAAGGCTTGACTCTAGCCATCTGTGCTCCCGGAATGGCAGCCTGTGGCTTTGAGTTGGAAAGGTCCCAGCCCACTCACCTCCAAGCTGCCCCAGTCCTCATCATCCCATTTGTCAACAGTACTGCTATCCTCTGCTGTGTCCTTCTCCTCCTCCTGTGTCTCCCAGTGGCTTGAGGTTGTGGGGGTAGCAGGGACAGGGTTGGGAGGCGGAACAGGATGTCCTGGGGAATAGAGGTCCCTGAGTTTTCAGGAAGATCTTGGGACAGGGTTGAGGTTGCTGAGGGGAAAAGGGCACAAAAAGAAAGGGACAAGAAGAAAGGAAGCCCACAAAGGAACTGGATCCCATGCCATCCCTATGTCTTTCTCACCACCCCAGGGGGAGGCTGGCAACAGTGGCTCCTGGGTGTCAGTATCTCATAGACATCTCAGCACTGATGCAGCCAGGCTGGGCCACTCACCCTCGGGCACTGGTCTCTGGGGCACATTGGTCTCAGCTGGCATAGCAGTAGGGTGTGCACGGATCAGCTTGGAGGTGAGGGAGGACACCCCAGTCACGGCCCAGCCTGCCCAACTGGCCGCAGCTCCTCCCATTCCAGGGCTGGAGACTGCATGGACATCCTTTTCTGGTCAGTGTGGGAGAGAGAAGCAGGTATGGGTACCTCAGGCTCCATGGACAGGTGACAGAAAGGCAAGCTCTAAAATAGAGTGACTTGTAGTGGCCCCCTCCCTTCTTCAGGCCTGGGCCCTCCCAGGTATGAAATGGGGAGGGTCAAGTCTATTCGATAGTTTTTCTAGCTCTCAGATACCCTATTGGGGGTGGGACATACAAGATGATAGTCAAGGACATAGCAGGGGAGAGAGGGAACAAAAGCATGGGCTACTTACCCACTTCTGCCAGCTGGGTAGGATCCTCTGACACAGTCTCCAATTTGGACAGGAAGCTTCGAATGGCCTTGAAGGCCTATGAGGTAGCAAGGGGCAGAGATTGTGGCTCCAGGGTCTGAGAGCTTGCCAGGCCAGCCAGGACCTGGACATCCCTCAAACCCCCAGCCCCACGGCCTAGCACCAGCTGTGCCTCACCTGGTCCCGCACAGATTTTTCAGGATCCAAAGTGAGGCTGCAAAGCACAGGCAGGATCTTGTGGGCACAGTCATTCATCGAGTAGAGGTTGTGGGTAGCAGCAAAGCCCAGGACACCCGCAGCTCGAGATGGTGGAAATGGGTCCTTAGTGGCCCGGCTGAAGGCGGAGGTGAGGACTCTGTGTCTGGTCTGGGGCAGGGAAGGATGGGGGGAAAGATAGGAGAAAGGACTCCTGAGTGTAGGGTCAACACTGGGCCCAGAACCACCACGTCTTATTACTTCCCAGAATGGGCCATCTGTGGGGTCCCCAGGGTCTAAAAAGTGTGAATTTATCATATATACTTAAATGGAGAGAATTTACCTGTAACTTTATCTCCCAGACTGCTGGGCTCCATGCTGCCTCAGGGCAGTAGGGCCAGAACAGCAGCTGTTCTGGGGCTGGAGCATGAGCCTTTCTTCCTCTTCCCTGCTGACCTGGTTTGGTCATGTAGTCCCCTTAACTGTCTAGGCCTAGCATGAGCCGATGTTTACAAAATCTGGTTAAGGTTCAGACAGACCTGGATTCAGATCCCAGATCTACCCCCTACCGGCTGTGTGACCTGGCACAGCCCACCCTACCTCTGGGAGCTCAAACTTCAGTTGGTAATGCCCAGGGTGAGGTCTCTGGGAGGATGAGGGCCCACCATACAAGGTGGGCCTAGCCCCAGAGAAGGCTATGGTTTTATGGCAGCTGTGCAGGACACTCACACTGGCATTGAGGTAGGAACCAATTTTGCCCAGGCAGACTGTGGTGTTGCAGCGGATGGGGCCTTGCTCATCCTTGGCCTGCAGCCTTGCAAAGTGCTTCATCAGCTCCACATTGAGGTTGGCCTCATTGAGCTTTGGGGCCAGCAGCAGCATAGACTGTGGGGTGCAGGGGACAGTGGGTATTGTGAGCCAGGGCAAGAATGGCTTCCAGGGAGAATGCAAAGGCAACTGGTGGCCCTTGGCTCTCAGCAGCCTGCCAAACACACCCCGCCTGGGCCTGCCCTCCCCAGCAAGTTGGGGAAGGGGATCCCCGTTTCTGTCCTCCCCTTAAGCACCTAGTCTGTATTCCTGTCTGTTTTTCCTTTGTTCTCTCCTGCCTGTGCTCCACTCAGACTTTTATACCAATACACCCCACTCTATCAAATGGGCTCGGATTGAGGTGACCAATAACCTCCAAGTTGCAAATTTAAATGTCCAGTTCTTTAGCTTCATCACACTTGACTTCTCAGCAGTTCTAACACCCCCAAGTTCTCTCTCCACCTTGAAGCTTTTGCTTCTGGTCTTCCTCTTACTTTGCTGGTCACTCAGAATCTTAAAAGTACAGAGTCTTCAGAGGCAATCCTTTGGCCTCTTTTTTTGCAGTATTGGGGCTTGAACTCAGGGCCTTCACTTGAGCCACTCCACTAGCCCCATTTTTGTGAAGGGTTTTTCGAGATAGGGTCTCGAGAACTGTTTGCCCACGCTGGCTTCGAACCACTATCCTCCTGAGCTCTGCCTCCTGAGTAGCTAGGATTACAGGCGTGACCCACTGGCACCCAGCTGACTTCTTTTATATTTAACACTCTTACCCATTTCATGGCTTTACATGTCCCTGTTATGGTTTGGATTTGGAATGTTCCCAAAAAGCCCATGTCTTGAATGCTTGGTCCCCAATGCAGCAATGTTCAGAGATGGGGCTTTGGGGAAGTGATTGGATCATGAGTGCTCTGTTCTCCTCAATGGATTAATCCATTCATTGGTTCACAATTTTTTTATACTTTTTTTTTTTTTTTTGATGGAACTGGGGTTTGAACTTAGGGCTTCACACTTGCAAAGCAGGCACTCTTCCACTTGAGCCACACCTGCAGTCTATTTTGCTCTGGTTATTTTGGAGATGGGGGTCTTGCAAACCATTTGCTCCAGCTGGACTTGAACTGTGATCCTCACAATCTCAGCCTTCCAAGCAGCTGGGATTACAGACAAGAGCCACTGGTGCATTGGTTCACAATTTGATGGGCTGTTGGGAGGTGTTGGAAACTTAGGAGGTGGAACCCAGTTGAAGGGAGTGGGTCCTTGGGGGCCCCTTCCTCTGTCTCTGCCTCCAGTCTGCCATGAGGTGAGTCACTGCCTCATTACATGCTCAGAACACATGGAGTCAAGTACAATGGACTGAAAGCTCTGGAACGGTGACCTAAAACAACTCTTTCCCCTCCCCTTAAAGTTGTTTATCTCAGTGTTTTGTCACAGCAACAGAAAGCTAAGATACCCCCTTATTAGCTGACAGTCCCCAGTGTGTACCCTTAGCTCAGATTTCTCCCCTAAACTTCACAAATGCATAACCTGCTTGTGGCCAGCTGGACATCACCTGGCTGTCAAGAAGAGTCCTCCAAGCCAGGGCCCACCTCTTCCTACAACCCTGCTCCTCAGTCTTCTCAGTAAATGGCAACTTAACCTTCAGAACCTTCCAGTAGCTAGGGCCAGAAGCCTCAAAGCCATCCTTGACTCTCAGCAAATACTGGCAGTTCCGTCTTCAGAATGTGGCACCTTCCTTCCACCCACTACTTGCCACTACCACCTCTCATCTGGGCCACTGCAACAGCCCCTAACAGTGTCCCAACTTCCTTCCACACAGCAACATAGTGGTCCTTTTAAAATGAGTCAGACCTTGCTACTCCCATGCTCCACATTCCAAGTGGCTCTGGCCTCACTTCCACTGAAGGCACTAGGATCCCCACCCCATCATTACCCTGCTGATTCCACCTCCCACCATCCCCCTTCAGCCACACTAAATCTCTTACTGCTACTTCTGCAGTCCAGGCAGCTTCCAGCCTCAGGGCCTTTGCATCTGCTATTCCTTCTGCAGAGAACATTTCTTTCATGTCACCTCATAGATCAAGGTATTCTCATTTTTAAAACTGCAAACCCCCCTCTCCACACAGCCCTGCTCATTTTCTCACATAATACCCATTTTCTAATTCTACTGTCTGCCAGGTCCACTCTCTGTCCTGCTCAAGGACAGGGGCTTTGGACTGCCTTGTACGTATATCTCAGCATAGGGCACAGGCCGGGCAATGAACATCTCAGTGTGCACCTGCTGAAAGTACTGTAGGCCATGCCCCTGCAGTGCCCCCATGGGCTATAAGGCTGCACTCCAGCATGGACTGACATGCATGTGTACATACAGCCCCTCCTACAGCTTAATATTCACAGGCTGAAACCAAGGCCTCTGTGGCCTGGAGAGCCCCCCTCCATGCCTTGGAAAACCAGGGGTGGACACTCTGGGCATGGCCACACCCACCTTGACTGTCTGCTCCCGGATGGCAGGGTTGGTGTCCAGGAAGCCATGAACAACATGGGGAAAGATCTGGGTGTTGACTGTAGGCTCATCAAGGTATTGGATGAACTGCTCCATCTGTGGCCCAGAGTGAGGTGTGAGAACACAGACGGCCCCTCCAACCCCCAGTGCAGGACCCCTCTGGCTTTGGTTTTCCAAAGACACTGACCAGCTAAGTCAGCTTCCTGAGCCCCTTCCTGCCTATGTTTGGTCTCAGGAGAGCTGATGCCTTTGACAGTTGGGGAGGGATTAGTACCTAGGAGACGGGTACCAGTTCCTGTTTGCTCACCAGGGTCCTCTATCCTAGATCCCAACAATCCGATACTCCCAGTTGCCCTGGAGTTGACAGGAGACTGTATTCCTGCCCTAGAGGGCCAGAGTGATTAAGCCAGGAGATAAGGGGCATTACCAAGGCTGTAATAAGTTCTGTCACCAGCTGTACCTCTGAAAGCCTGGCCTCCCTGGCCCTTCACCTGTGTAGATGTTCAGGACAGGTGTTTCTGGGGCTCTGTACTGCCAAGGCAGGAACTCCACCCACCTTCCTGGGGCTGGGGGTGAAGCAGGTACCTCCCCTGCAGCCAGGGTGGGATCTGGGAGAGTGGACTAGGGCAGGGGCTGGCCAAGACCCCCACCTGTTGGAGGAGGCGGATGCGCATGGCGCGGTCAGTAGATGAGAACATCTTGACCACCACAGGGATGATCTTCTGCTGATACTCCTCAGCACTGAGGAACTTGCCCACCTGAAGGAAGGAGCAGAAGATGGAACTTAGCCATGTCCTCAAGACGGGATGACCATGGAACTCACTGGACTTACTCAGGATTCTTGCTGGTTCCCCAGGGTAGGGATAGGGTGATGGCAGAGTGGAGGGTAGCATATCTTCAGCAGCCTCCTCTGCCCATACTTGGCCTTAACATTTCTGAGTCTTTTAGGGAGGGTGCTGAAAGCTTCGTGACCCTCCCTATAATCAGGCACCACAAGCACACAGAATTCTGCCTACAATTTCTGTGGGGTCCACCTAACAGAATTTGATGACCGTCTTCTCCCTTCCAGTAAGTGCCTTCAAGAGAAAGGGTCTCCTTCGCTGGGCAGGGTGGGGAAGGGCAGGTGTCCATGTAAGAATAGGCTAGGACCAGGTGCTGGTGTCTCATGTCTGTAATCCTAGCTACTTAGTAGGCAGAGATCCAGAGGATTATGGTTCGAAGCCAGCCCAGGCAAATAGTTTGTGAGGCCTCATCTCAAAAAAAGCCATCACAAAAAAAGGGCTGGTGAAGTAGCTCAAGGTGTAGGCTCCAGTATGGCAAAAAAAAAAAAAAAAAAAAAGAGAGAGAGAGAGAGAGAGTGGCCTAGGGGTTTAAAGAACGGGGGAGGATCCAGCCCCTGGAAGTAAGGGAGCTGAGTGATCAGGACAGAAAATAGGAAAATGGGGTACTAGGTGGGTGGTCCCTGGGTCCTGGGAACCAGGACTCTGAAGCAAGGGGTCTGCAGACAAAAAGAATGTGGAGGCACAGGGTCTCTCCTCCCAAGGGCAAGAAGTCTCCACTGCCTCCTTGCAGCTGGTCAGGGGCTCTGGCTTACTGAACCATCAGGATGCTGGCGGAAAGCTCCTCCTTACATGAGCTTGAGTCTTCCCTGACTAGGCTGCCTGTCCCAGGACAGGGCTGTCCCAACCCTCAAGGCCTTCTCTTGGCAGTTTGGATGTGCAGGACCAGCTCTCTAAGCTTAGTGGCTCCTGAGACCTTCCAGGTCCCCCTCATGGGGGCTCCTGGCCCTGCTTACCTTAAAGAGAGGTGTGAGGACCACGGCCCCAGCACTGCCAAACTCGAAGGCAGTCAGCAGCTGGGGTAGCACCTTGTGCCGACAGAAATCTTCAGGGAAGGAGTCAAGACTCTTGCTCAGCTCTTGGAAGAACTTTTGCTTCTCCACTGGCTCTTTGATCTGAGGGAACAAAGACAGAGCCCAGGAGTCTAATCACACGCACCCAGCCACAGGGGAGGCAGGAGCAGGAGCAAAGCTGTGAGCTCTGCAGCCCAACTACCTAGGTTCAAAGCCCAGCTCTCCCACTTAGCCCTATGACCTTTAGCAAGTGCCCCATCTGTAAAATGGGAGAGTAATTCTACCACTTCACATGGTTGTTCTGAAGATTCAACTAGAAAACTCATATAAAAACTGCCAGCAAGCTGGGTGCTAGTGGCTCACACATGTAATCTTAGCTACTCAGGAGGCAGAGATCAGGAGGATAGTGGTTCAAAGCCAGCCCCGGGCAAATAGTTCAAGAGACCCAATCTCAAAAAAGCCATTCATAAAAAAGTGCTGGTGGAGTGGCTCGAGGTCTGGGTCCTGAGTTCAAGCCCCAGTACTGGAAAAAAACAAAACCAAAACCAAAAACTGCCAGCAAGCCCAGCATGGTGGTACATGCCTGAAATCCCAGCACCTGAGAGGCCGAGACAGCATCACAGAATTGGAGGTCAGCCTGGCTACACACTGAGACCCTTCCTCAACATAAAACAAACCAAACAAAAAGTTGCCAGTGCAGTGTCTGACACACATAATGAGCTACTAGCAACCATCCTTCTTATCTCTGCCACCTACCTACAGCTAGAAGAGAATTAAGTAGGGGGACCAGACCCTTTGTCAGCATCACCGCTACTGCTCACAAAACCCAGATAAGGAAACTGAGGCTGAAAGAGGTAAGGTTCTCCTGCCCTGGCTTGGTTGAGCACACTCACAACTCCATGCTGGGTGGAGTTCCTAGTGGACCATGGGAAGACAGGAAATAGGTACAATTTGCCCTCCAGACCTGGCCCTCCTGGGCCAAAATGGGCCAGGCTACCAGCTCAAAATTTTTCATCAGCTCTCCTAACCTCCCTAAGCTGTAATAATCCCAACTCCAACTTTCTGAGAAAATTGTGTGCTAAGACCTTTACACGTAGTACCTTCAGTAGTCCTCCCCACAACTTTATGAGGTAGATACCAATGCAATCCACATGTTACCAATAAGGAAGCTGAGGCACAGAGAGGGCAAACAGCTTATTTAAAGATACACACCTAAGAAGTAGTCAGGGAGCCTCTACTGCATTATACCCTTCAAGGAGATGTACCACCTACTCAGGAGGCAGAGATCAGGAGGATCCTGGTTCGAAGCCAGCCAGGGCAAATAGTTCACAAGACCCTATCTTGAAAATACCCAATGCAAAACAGAGCTGGCAGAGTGGCTCAAGTGATAGAGCACCTGCCTAACAAATGTTTAAAAAAAAAAAAAAGAGAGAGAGAGAGAGAGAGAGAAGAGAGAGATGCATAATTCCCCCATTTACAAAGGAGTAAAGAAGAAAGTTGATGGTCAAGATCACTAGTTGAGAGTGACCAAAAAATGCCTGGATTACAAAGCAAGTTCTACATAGCAAGTTTGAAGTCAGACTGAGCTATATATATAGCAAGACTGTCTAGAAAATAAAAGTGACCAGAGAGCTGGTAAGAGCACCTTCCTAGCAAGAGGGAGGCTGAGTTCAAACCCCAGTGCCACCAAAAGAAAAAAAAAAAAAGAAAAAAGGACCAGATACTAGGCATGGTGGCTATGCCTATAATTCCAACACTTGGAAGGCTAAGGCAGGATTGGTAGTTCAAGGCCAGTCTATGGCTGTACCATCTTAAACATGCCTGATCTTGGAAGCTAAGCAGGGTTGGGCCTGGTTAGTACTTGGATGGGAGAGTTCAAGGCCAGCCTGGGCTTATTACAGTATGACCCTGTCTCAAAAAAAAAAAAAAAAAAAATGGGGGGCAGTCCTTATTCCAGAGTCTCTGTGCCCTCTGTTATCCCTACCCACATAGCTGCTGCTTAGCCCAGGAAAGTGATCTCTGGCTAGGGATGGGGGAACAGCTGGCTGGACCTGAGCAGCTCAACCCAGCATGGGAGGCAGGCTGTGACTCCAAAGTTGGGGGATGGACGGTAAGGCCCAGAGAGGCCAAACTATATCCAAGATCACACATCAAGAGTGTGGGTTCTTCCACCGTTGTACCCAACACCAGGAAGAGGGGCCCATGGGTATTGCCCTCCCACAGTCTCCTGGAGGCCATCCAGAAATAGCCCATTCCCTGTGGGACACATTGTAGGGGAAGGGCAACTTGGTGGCACCAGCCATGTGAAAAGAACAGCATGTAACAAAGTTCCTGCTGCCTCCACACTGGCCAGGAGGCCAGTGTTTCCAGCAATTCCTTCAAGATGCAGTTCAGAGTTCCCATCCTCCTTCAGACTTCCCTGCACCCCACACTAGCCAAGATTCCCCCAACTCTGCTCCTTTGAGGTCTGTTGGAGTATCTGTCACCCTCCTGTCCCACTTCAGATTCACAAGCCACCTGTGGGAATCACACGGCTAGGTCAGAGAAGGTGACCCCCCTTCATTCTCCATGACAATCCTCAGGGCCAGCAGATGCTGTGACACTCCCCCTTATACAGATATGGACCCTGAGGTTCAGAACAGGGCATGGCACCCATGGGGACCTGAGCCGGGACATTGTATGGAGCTGCTAGGTGCCCTAGCAGAGCAGCCCTCTATATCTGTGGATCTAACCAACAACAGATCAAAAATGTCAGGGGAGTTGGCAGAGTGGCTCAAGAGGTAGAACGCCTGCATAGCAAGCACGAGTTCAAACCCCAGTACCACCTAAAAAATAAAATAAAATAAAAAATATGCCAGAGGAAAAATACTGTCTGTACTGAGTATGTACAGACTTATTTTTCTTGTCATTATTCCCTAAGCAATACAGTATAATAATTGTTTACATAGCACTAACATGCATAAGGTGTTATAAGTCATCTAAAGATGATATAAAAACTACAGGACTCTGGGTTGAAACCCCAGTACCACAAAAAAAAAAGAACAAACCCGGGAAAATGAGGTTATATGCAAATACTGTGCCATTTTATATAAGGAATTTGAGCATCTGTGGATTTTGGTATCCTCTGGAGTCCAGGAACCAATCCTGGACACCAAGAGGACTATACCATGTGCTGTAAAGTCACAGACTCCTTCCTGTACTCCTGTGAAGCAGGCACTGTCATCAGGGCTGGGCTTCAGCCATGGAGTCACACAGCAAGAATAGGTGAAGCCAGGCTTTGCACCCAAAGGACATAACTGCACAGCCCATGCCTCCAGAGGGCCCAATTGTGAGAGACCTGAAAGTGGGGTGGGAGCCAGTGGAGAGGAATAAAGGGCAAAGCCCAGGTGAGTGGGGCACGCACCTGAATCTCTTCCAGGAAGAGGTTGGTCTCCACAAAACGGTTGTTCATGAAGCCACCGGGTGCCTGGCAGTTCTGCAGGAAGCGGGCTGGGTTGGGACGTAACTTGGGGTTGGCTCCCACAAGCTCACAGTAATGGGGCACCAGGGATTTGGGGATCTGTAGGGAAAGGCTCAGTGTCAGGGAAGGGGTTGGGGTGGCTGGCAGGAAGGAAGGGCCTGGAACAGCCAGGGCTCAGATACTTACCTTCCCAGGGTTTCGCAGGGCGGCTGCGCGAGGTAGGGGCCCATTGAAGACTTCCCAGATGAGGCAGCCCAAGCGCCACATGTCCGCTGACCTGTGCAGTAACCCAGAGCTGCTTGGGCCCCACACCCACTAGTGCCAGCCTCTAACCTGCCTTGGGCACTATGTACCCACTGCATGGCCGGCCCTTGTTGGGTCCCTCAGCTGATCCATCAGCCCCAAGCAACTGGTTTCATCCACCCCATTTAATGGATTAAGAAAGTAAGGCTCAGAGAAACAAGGACATCTGCCCCAGGTCACACAGCTTTCAAAATCAGAACTACTCAGCAATGAAGTCTGTGTCTACCCTGCCCTGACCACCCTGAGGTCTCTGGAAGCACTGGAGTGGGTACCACTGCTGAGACCCTGGTTCTCTCCCCAGTCAGGCAGGAAACAGGCACAGGGACGTGCCAGCTAGTCTAGGATCCTGAGGCTGCAAGGGCCCCCAGCAAAGGGCAGATTGAGGTGTGCTGCCTCCATCACCTACCACTTCTCTCTGACAGCTCTGCCACTGTTGTCAGCCAGTTCCGGGGGGTCATACTGTTCAAGCTCTGGGATCCCCTTGTTGGGGGGTGCCCCACCATTACCCTGGGCTGAATACATGTAGTCCAGGCCCCCAAGTTTCCACTCGCCAGCTCTGTCCACAAACACAGCAGCCATGCAGATGTTGTTGTGAATGAGGCTGCAGTCGTTCACCAGGAAGCTGAGGGCTTTCACAATCTGGTGAAGTCCCCATGACAGCTCCTGCTCCTTCAGGCCACCAGCTTCCACCCTCTCCTTGAGGTACATTCCCAGGGGGGTCACAGCCTCTGTCACTACATGGAGGCACTTTTCTGTCTGGGGAAGGAGACGGGTATCAGGGCATGGCCAGGGAGTAGAATGGGGGGAGAGGTAGTGGAGATGGGAAATCAAATCTGGGACTACAGAGGCTCATGGGTTGGAAACTGAAAGAAAGGCAGAGTGGAGAGGGAGTGGGAGTCTAGGAGAAGGTGAGGGGCAGAAATGGGAAGGATGGCAGGAGGTACCTCCAGCCCATCGATGTAGGCCAGGATGTTGGGGTGCCGGAGAGTCTTGAGGCGCTTGAAGGCAGCTTTGGCCACCTGGGTCTGCTCTTCCGCACCAGGCTTCACATCGTACACGAAGATGGACACCGGGCTGCCTGTGGCCTGGGGGAGGACACAGCGGCCTGGGCTGTGGGGTACTGGTTGTCCACTCTACCCAGCCTGGGTCTCACCAGCTCCCAGACAGGGTCCCCAGAACGGAAGGAAAGGGCCTCTGGGCAGGTCTCTTCCCAGGTCAGCCCCCCAGGGACTTAGCCGGGTCCCACGTGACCCCCGCCCTGTCCGCCGTCGGTCCCTCTGTCCTTCCGCCCGCCACGTTGGCACTGCCCGCCCCCCTCCTCGGCCCGTTGCACCGGAGCCTCGGTCACCACGTCAAGCCGGGCGCGACGCGGCGGGGCCGGCGGCGAGGACTAGGCGAGGCCGAGGCCGGCCGCGGCCTGCGGAGAGGGGCCCAACCTCACCTTCTTGCGGCCGCGGTGCAGGACCCAGGGCCCCGGTGGGCTGCCCTCGGGGGGATCCGGGCTGAGCTCGAACGGGAAGTCCCGGACCGGGTCCCGCGCAAAGAACCACATCGTCCCGGCCGCCGCCGCGGGCTCGGGCGCCTCAGCTCCGGGTCCTCCCGCCGCCCGAGCCGGAGCGGGGCGGGCGGGGGCGGGGCCTGTCCGGGCTGGGGGGCGGAGACAGGGCGTGGTCTGATCGGGTTGAGGGAGGGGGCGGGGTCTGTCTTGTGGGGCGGGGCCTAAGGTGGGGCCTGACCCGGAGAGGCGGAGCCGGGGCTGGGACTGGTCGAGAGGTCAGAAGGCAGAGTCTAGACCAACCCTCTGCAGCCGAAGGGTCAGTCTTGGCAGGTCACCCAAAGTCCGAATCTCTGTGCCCTTATATATAAAAGGTGCGTGGTAATAGAGCCCACTTCCCAGCGTTGTAAGAATAAGCGTTTAAGAAGAGACAGATGGGATTGCCACAGTCAGGTGGAGCTGGGTTTGAATCCTCACTCAGCCCCTCACCAGCTGCGGAAACTCACACAGATCCTGTACCTTCTGGGAGCCTTTGTTCCCCATCTATAAACTGGGTGAACGGTGATCTGCACCACACCTAATACAGAACTGCTACTTAACAAACACTTGCTTCCTCTCTTTCCTTGTGCAAGAATCTGTGTGAGACAGGCGTGCAGAAGTGGGATCAGACACAGTTCAGCTGCTCAGAACAGAAGGGAAATCACAGCTACAGTCAGGCATGGTGGTACACACACCCGTAATCCAGCACTCTGGAGCTAGAGGCTGAGACACGAGGATTGAGTTCAAGGCCACCCTGGGCTACATTGTGAAACTGACTCAAAACAAAAAAAGAAAAGGCAGGGGCAGCCACCCAGCTACCAGTTGAGTGGCTCAAGTGGTAGAGCGCTTGCCTAGCAAGCTGAGGCCCTGAGTTCAAACCCCAGTACTGAAAAAAAAGGGAGGAGGAATGGTGGAGTGGCTCAAGTAGTAAAGCACCTGCCTAGCAAGTATGAAGTTCTGAGTTCAAGCCCCAGTGCCACCAAAAAAAAAAAAAAAGAGAGAAAGAGAGAGCCTTACTCAGGGACTGGAGGTGCTCTGCAAGTGTGAAGCCCTAAGTTCAAACCCCATCCTACCAAAAAAAGGAAACTGTAAGACTTATGGCATGGATACAAAATAAAAAAGAAGCGACCAAAGCTGGGCACCAGTGGCTCACACCTATAATCCTAGCTACTCAGGAGGCAGAGATCATGAGGATCACAGCTTGAGGGCTGGTGGAGTAGCTCAGGTATACCCTGATTTCAAATCCCAGTACCACGAAATAAATAAATAAATAAATTACTTAAAAGGAAGCAATCAGAAAGGCTCAGTGATGGAACTGATCTGTTAACTAGAAATCTTCAGAAGATGGCCTGGGGGATGAAAAATGATCCACAAAGGTCTCTGACGAAGGAGAATATTCAAGTCTCAGTGAGGAAACCAAAGCAGGAATTATGGTTAGCACTGGAATAAAATTTCCAATAACATGTTAAGGTAACCATACTTCTTTGTTTTTGTTTTTGTTTTTTTGTAGGACTGGGGTTTGAACTCAAAACTTTGAGCTGGCAAAACAGGTGTTCTACCGCTTGAGCCACACCTCCAGTCCATTTTGCTTTGGTTATTTTGGAGATGGGGGTCTCTCAAAGTATTTGTCTGGGCTGGCATTGAACCTTGATCCTCCCGATCTTAGCCTCCCAAGTAGCTAGGCATGAGCCACTGGTGCCCCCGCTGGTAACCATGTTTTTATTCTTTTTATTACCATTATAATTTTGTGGTTATTATTAGTTAAGTATTATTCCTCTTCTTTCATGAAAGAGAAATATTTCTTGGTAATCAAATTCATAAGAAGTTGTAAAAATTCTTTGGTTTTGTATATCTAAGCAATCTTTTGTCCTCGAACTCTGAGGGTTGGGGTAAAGAAGGATTTGAGATTTCTGAAACTGTTGGAGGGAATTAGTTAGCACTGCCATGTGAAGGACAACTGGGCAATATCTGTTAAACACTTGTAAATGCAGCTCTTTTGCCCCAGTAATTCCACTTCTCAAAATTTGTCCTATATGGACTGGGGATATAGCTCAGTGGTAGAGTGCTTGCTCAGAACTCACAAGGCCCTGGGTTCAATGCCCAGTACACACACACACACACACACACACACACACACACACATATACACACACGCACACATTACTCTATGCAAACTCATGTTCAAAGCTGGATATGGTAGCACACGCCTGTGATCCCAAGGTAGGAAGATCACAGTCCAAGGCCAGACCCAGGACCAACCACCTGAAAAATATCTAAAGCAAAGAAAGAGGGGCCTAGGGGCCTGGCTCAAGCAGTATAGCACCTGTCTAGTAAGGGTAAGGTCTTGAGTTCAAACTCCAGTACTGAAAAAAAAAGAAAAGAAAATATAAAACTATGTTCAAACATGCAGATATATTCAAGGTGGAAACTCAGAGAATTGTGTAGACTACTTACTATAAACCACTGACTTTCAAGAAACTCCAATGATTGTCCTGGCCAAATCATGTCTGTAGAAGGCTGGGGAAGGCTCTGAAAAAGTACTCATCGTGATTATGTTCTACCATTGGCACCCCGATTCCATATTGATTACTGGGGGGAGTGGGGAACCATGACATCACTAGGTCCTCAGGCAAGGTCTGCTAAGCAGATCTAGGCACCAAACATTTGTTAGACCCAAGTTGTGTTAAGTATTTATCTAAATCAAAAGAATCAAGCAAGCATGGTGGCAAATGCCTTTAATCCCAGTCCTCAGGAGGCTGAGGTAGGAGTACAGAGAGTTTTAGGCCAGCCTGGGCTGCATAGTGAGACCCTGTGTCAAAACAAAAATCCCCAAAGAAAACCAAAGCCCTCAACAACCATGTCTCCTATTTGTGCTGAAGCACTGGCTACTCTTTTGTATAGCTGAATATTTATTGTTATGTTCTGTATTGAACATTCCATGGCAAAACAATAAAACAGGATGTGGAGGATGGGAGGGAGGTTTATACAAGGTTGTGTGATTATTTGAACATGAATTCTGAAGCCAGACTGCCTAGATTTGCTTTGCTGTATGACCTTGAGCAAGTTACTTATTCTTTGTGTCTCAGATTTCTTGTCTGTAAAATGGGTAGAATAATAGTAACTATTCCATGGGTGTGGTAGGCTGAATAATGCCCCCCAAAAATGTTCACCTCCTCATAGCTGGATCCTGTGAATATGGTACCTTACATGGTAAAAGAGCTGAGACTTTCCCAATGTGATTAAGGATTTTGAGATGTGGAATTTGAGAATTATTTGAGATTATTCTGGATTATCCAAGGGCATCTGAAATTGTCACAAGGGTCATTATAATGGGGACTTGGGATGATAATAGTAGGTAGTAGGAGATGTGGCCATGGGAACAAGAAGTTGAAGTGATGAAGGGGTCATAAACCAAGGAGTGTGGGTGGCCTCTCAAAGCTGGAAAATAACAAGGACAGACTCTTCCCTAGAGCCCTCAGAAGGAACGTAGCCCTGCGACACGTCTAACAGCTGGACTGTGATATGAGTGGGTGCTGTTCTGTGTCACTAAGTTTGTGGTAATTTGTTACAGCAGCCACAAGAAACTAATGCAGTAGGCACATTGAGAGAATTCATGAGTTCATACATGCAGTTTATTAAGTGCTCAATAAATGCTGGCTTTTGTCTACACAAAAGGACTGTTTGTAATAATGGGAAGTCAGAATAACCCAAATGTCCACTGGGAGTTAAGTAATTCCAATCTATCTGTGGCGCCACAGCAAGTTAATGATTAGGCTGTGATGTGGGTATTTGCACGGCTCCGTGATGGTGATGCTGGTGACGCTGTGGTGATGATACCTGGTGGTGGTAGTGATGACGGTGGCAATGGGGATGATCGCAGTGGCGATGGTGGTAGTGATAGTGATGGTGATGCTAATGATGGTGGTGATGATAATTGGTGGTGGTGGTGATACCGCCCATGTCCTGCCTGTGTATCAAGCACAGAAGGAAATGCTCTCCCTGAATAAGCGGTTCTGATCGTCTTAACACCATAGAGAAGGGAACTCTGTCAGTCTGAGAAACCACCACGTCATTCAAATAGGAAAAGTTTAACATAAAAAAATTAACTACATTAGGAGTTGGAGTAATGAGGGATTGGCTAGTGCCCAAAATACAGGAACAGCAGGTAGAAGGAGCCCCGCCGCTAGGGCTGAGACAGAGATGCCAGGAGGAGCCCCCTTCCACCCCAGCCGGACCCTGTGGAGAGAGAATGTCTGCGTCGTTGGATGGCAGAGAATGCGGCCACGGAAATACTCCTCTAAGGTGCTAGGGAACGTTATTTGTGGGGAAGGGTCTCCCTAGAAACACTTCATACTCCAAGGTGGGCGTGGGGTGCTGGAGGAAGCAGCTGCCACTGGATACTGGCGGCCATAGTGTCCCGCGGGAGACAGGTGCTGCCCTGGCCCCAGAGCTGAGAAGTCTCCCATCCCCATAAACTGAGGAATTCGGCAAAACCTAGAAGCAAACTTTTTCTGCAGCAGCACCTCTCAGCGCCCTCTGCTGGCAAAGTTTAACATTGTGCCACTTGACCTAAGGAAAATGCGAAGCGCCCGGATCCCCATCCACAGAACAGGCTAATTTGGAGCTGAGAGGCAATGATTAAGTGAGTGGAATCATTAGCTCTATATTACAGAGGAGGAAACTGAGGCTCCACAGGGGGGAATCGCCTGGCCTGAGGTCATCGCTCAGCCAGTGCTAGGGTTTACTTTGCTCTATAAAGTGTTTAGAAAGCAGGTTGCAAAAAAAATGATCTATATTGGCCAGGCACTGGCGGCTCACGCCTATAATCCTAGCTACTCAAGAGACAAGGATCAGGAGGTTTGCAGTTCGAAGCCACCCTGGGCAAATAGTTCATGAGACCCTATCTGGAAAATACCGAACATAGAAGGACAGGATTGTGAAATAGGTACCCTGGGGGACGGGTGCTTGTGGGAGGGAGGGTGAATGGAGGAGATGAAGGTGAGAGAATATTGTTGAAGAACTAGAACAATGAAACATTTTGCAGTTGTTTTAAGAGGGACAGGAAGAGGGTGTGTGGGGAGAGATGGTGGGGGCGACTTAATA